AATGTACAAAAGACAATCACATTTCTTTACACCAATAATAAACAGAAACCCAAATAAAAAACACAATTCCATTCACAATAACCACAAAAAAAATGAAACACCTTGGCATCTTCCTAACCAGAGATGTGAAAGACCTTTACAAAGAAAACTGCAAAACACTGCTCAAAGAAATCAAAGATGACACAAACAAATGGAAAAATATCCCATGATCATGGATTGGAAGAATCAACATTGTGAAGATGTCCACCTTACCTAAGGCAATCTACAAATTCAATGCAATGCCCATCAAATTACCAGCAACATTCTTCTCAGACCTAGAAAAAACAACACAGGAATTCATATGGAAACACAAATGTCCAAGAATAGCCAGAACAATCCTCAACAACAAAAAAACAAAGCAGGTGGTATCACATTACCAGACTTCAAACTTTACTATAAAGCTACAATCATCAAAATAGCTTCGTATTGGTATAGGAACAGGCATATAGATCAACGGAATAGAATTGAGATTCCAGAAGCAAAACCTCAATTTCTCAACCAACTCATCTTCGACAAAGCCTCCACCACCTACCACTGGGGAGAGGAGAACCTATTCAGTAAATGGTGCTGGGAAAACTGACTGACCACATGCAGAAGATTGAAACAGGACCTATCTATCCCCATGCACAAACCTTAATTCCAAATGGATCAGAGACCTAAATGTAAAACCTCAAACCATAAGAAGCTTAGAAAATGAAGGACATACCCTCATGGAAAACTGGCATCCAATTCCTGAACAAAACCCGAAACCCACAGCTCATAAGAGAGAAGATAGACAAGTGAGACCTTATTAAACTGACAAGCTTCTGCAAAGCCAAAGAAACCATCAAGAGAGCAGGGAGACAGCCTACAGATTGGGAAAAAGTATTTGCCAACACCAGGTCTGACAAAGGCTTAACATCTTGGATCTACAAGGAACTCAAATGTGTGAAAAGAAAAAAACAAACCACCCCATTATAAAATGGGGAAAAGATATGAACAGACACTTCACAAAGGAAGACATCCAAGCAGCCAACAGACACATGAAGAAATGTTCAACCTCACTAATCATCAGGGAGATGCAAATCAAAATCACACTGAGATACCACCTAACTCCAGTCAGAATGGCAATTATCAACAACTCAAAAAATAACAGTTGCTGGAGAGGGTGTGGTGAAAAGGGAACACTGCTACACTGTTGGTGGGAGTGTAAACTAGTGCAACCTCTGTGGAAAGCAATGTGACGATTCCTAAAAGCTCTAAATATCAACCTCCCATATGACCCCTGCAATCTCCCTACTGGGAATATATCCTGAAGAACTCAAATCACTCTATAAAAAAGATACCTGCACATGTATGTTTATCACAGTATTGTTCACAATAGGAAGAACCTGGAAGCAACTATGCTGCCCATCAAAAGAGGACTGGATTAAAAAAATGTGGTACATATACATGATGGAATACTATGCAGCCATAAAAAAGAACAAAATCATGAATTTCGCAACAACCCGGATGGAACTAGAGTGACCTCTCACAGAAACAAAGATCTGAGTATCACATGTTCTCACTCATATAGTGGACCTTGATCATCCAACGCACCTCCATAAGAAAATGACTGACAGTGATGGGGGAAACTATGGGGGGAGGGAAAAGGGGTGAGACTAATGGTAGTAAACATCTGTCTGGGGACAGGGAGACACCTGTTATCAACAAGGGGGCCTAAATGAAGCATATTTTTACACCTAACCCTTAACTGTACCCCACAACATCATAATAAAAAATGTATTTAAAAAAATTGTTTTTCTTTTAAAATTGTGGGGCATAATTAAGGGTTAGGAATTCAAATATTCATTGTGCAGGTACCTTGTTTATGAGGTGTGCCTCCCACTTCCCCAGGCAGATATTGACTACCATAAATCCCACCTCCCTGCCCTCCCCCACCCCGTAGTTTCCCACTACTGTCAATCCTTTTCTTATAGTATTACGGTAGTTGTTTAAGGTCCACTTATGAGTGAGAACATGTGGTACTCAGACCTTTGAGGACGCATTTATTCTTTATGTGAGAATTGTAAAGAGTATTTGTGTAAGAACAGTATATACATTATGAATGTGTTGCTCATAACGGAATTTTCAATTATAAAGATAAGCATAATGTTACCAAAATAACACAGCCTTTGAGATCCCATGCTCCCCTGATAGGAACCTCTCCAATCTGAATTCTGGAAGAAGTCTTTAAAAGGAACCCTCTACAATCAGAATATGCCTTTGACTACTAATTATTTAAATGTTTCATTTATGTCATCAGATGACATCAACATAAGATTCAAGAGTTTCCAAGTCACAAACGATCTTTAAAAAAAAAAAATGTCATTTTTTCCCATTAGGCTTAGAGTCTTTCTTAGGCCAAATCTTTAAGTTAAATAGGAATCTTTAATGACCTATGAAGAAAATCTATAATAGTAAATTGTATCTAAATATAAAAGCATTGTATATTCATGATTAAATGCTTGATAAATGATGAACCATTTACTTAAGAACAATCTTGTGTGTACATTATAAACTTTTCTCAGACTCTGTTACTAAAATATCGCCATTTTATCATTTGCAAGTCTTAGAAGCAAATAGGAAAATTACAATGGTCTTGGACAGGTTTGGTGAACTGTAACAATAAGTTTAAATAGGTAATTGTTTTTACCCATCGGGCGATTATAGTTTGTTTTATCCTTTTAGTATTTAGAGGAAGTAGAACTGTCTTTGCTTCCATTGGCTTTCAATGTGATGTTAAGAGTGTATAATCAAACATTTAAGGGACAAAATTATAAGCCATATGAAGGGTGGAAGAAATTGCTCAGGGTAGGTACTGATTCCCAACGTTTATAATAACATCCTGTATGGCTTCAGGCCAAGTACTTCCTGATGTGGACAGATACCCAGTCTTTAAAATGTGGAGGCTTGGCTAGATGCACTTTCAATTCTCAAAATACTCTATGATTTAATTCTGATTTAGTCATGATATAGTATGACTTCTAAACAGGGTAACAGATTTCAATTTTGGATTTTAACTTAGAAAATACTTACAGTTAAGGCTGGCGGTCCTGGAGGTCCCATGTCTCCCTAAAATAGATTAAGGAAAAGTCGTAATTGCCAACACTCCCTTTTTGTACATTACTTACAAATTTCTGAGTGGATAGAAGCAATATCTATAGATGACTCTTGAAGGACAGAAGATGGAATTTCATCTTGATAAAAACCTCTGCACAAAGAAAAATGTATCACATGTCCTTGACTCTCGTGAGATAAAAATCACCTTGTGAATGCCTTGCTTTTTGCAGCAGCTTGTTTAGAAAGCTAAAATAATCCAATTTTCTATTCTTTTTGTCTACTAATCCAAAATTAGAAAGAATATCTTTTCAAATACAGTTTCTTGCCGGCAGAGCAGCTGGAAAGTGTCACGGCGATGGATAATTTTTCTGACAAAGTTAGTGTGAGGATCAGCAGAAATAACAAGTGGCTCTCTCCACTTCGTGTCTCCCAGCTGCAAGAAGTAGTCCCAGGCCTCATCTAAAGCTCTGCTGAATTGGCGTAACGTTTGCCATCAAATGTAAGAGGCTTTGCCTATGTTATGCATTTTTAAGTATTGAAATTGCTTTGCTGATCTATGTGAATACAGATTTCCAGGTGGATAGATTGATAAAATATTCAAAATCTTTAAAAATGGTCCATCTAAAAGTTCCCTATTTTCCAGTTTCTATGTCTCTTCCAAGCCTCATTGTCTCAGGAACTCTATTTCACAAGAATTCTCAGTCGTCAGCACCAAGCTTCCCTGCCCTGGTCTGTGTCTAGCTGGTCATGGTGGAGAACATACACTGCACGGCATGAAATTCTGGGATGCTGTATTCTCATGCTGAGGGCATCTTTAGAACTTTCTCTTTTCTCACCTAACACAACAACTTAAAAAGTTGCAGCCTAGCATGGTTTTTGAGAACACCGGCATAGCTTAAATGAGTCACTGAGGACTAATTTGCAGGATCACTTCTGACATAGAAATAAGTATTGAAGACAGAAAAAGATTTCTAAATGTGCTGAGAATAGAGGACAAGATACTTGCAAAACATGTACACACACAGTTTTCATCAAATCAGAATCATCCAATGACTTAGCTCAAAACAATTCTTGCTTTTACTATTTCTTAATTCTCTTTTCAAGGTAACTGCCAATATGCTATTCTGAAATAGCATATCACATGAGAAAGCATGGCAGGAAGTGTAACATTTTGACTAAGACTGAGATTAAAAAGTTGGCCTCATTCCCCCCCAAAGCCACGTGCCTCACTGTTACGGAACAGCTCAGTGTTACTGGCCAAGTTGCCCACATAAGACACACGTGCTGATTTGATGATGGAATATCTCATCTGTTAAGCAAGGGTGAGAAAAGGGAACTCATATCAGCATAAGTTAATGTCAACTAGCAATTGTGCATTTAGTCTCTTCGGCTAATTACAAGAACCAAAAGGCTTCTCTTGTTCAGATGCTATTAACATGACCGCCTTGGGTTAAGTTTAAAATGATTTAGGGAAATAAATGGCATCAACAAGAAGTCATTGTATAGATTCTTGGGGTTTTATAAGAAAAGGTTGGCACAGTGCTGGGTAAAAACAGTACCTTTTCTCCTTTTGGGCCAGGTGGACCTTGAGGACCCAAGTCACCTTTCAAACCCTGTAGAAAGAATAGAACGGATACACAGTTCACAGAGAGCTTCCATTTCGAACAAGTCATTAGTAACTAAACTGTAATCTACTAAACTCTCAAATCCCATTCCTCACTTTGTAGAATAGAAAGAAACAGAGACAACTGGCACCCAAATGAAAAGCAGCATCTGTGTGTGGTGGGCACGGTACACTCAATCAGCACAGACCTCAATGCTGCATATTCGTGCAACTCTGCTTCCTGCTAAAATTACATTAATTCACCATCTGGGAGAATATCATTTAGATCTATATGAGCTTTAAAGTATCCAGTTTGGATCAAATTTGTGTATGTTGCAAATACCTCTGATTTAGCATTGATTTGGCCTTTATCAAGCTTGCCAAAAATTCAAAAGTTAAATAAAAAACATTTTTATATCTCTATAAAGAAATCTAATTGCTGGGGAAGAGAATGAAACATGCATTCTTTTGCTATCAAAAAACTGGAGCAAAAATGTCTCTTTCTGTTAGTATGTTTTAGTTCTCTAATTCCTAAGTTTTTTAACCTGCATTTGTCAAGATGTCAAATGAAACTACATAAGACATAGACAGAATATCAGATAAATATTTTCATGAGTCCTCTGGGTTCCTGGGTGTGTTAATGGTTGTTTGGTTACTTTGACTTAGAAGACTTAGAATCAACAACTTCCAGGAATACCACAATGGATGGCCCTGGAGGAGATGAGGTCTGTGGCTAACTGTGTTCACAACACAAACAGAAAGAAAGTTAAATACACAGATCCTGACTGCGTGGGTAAGAGGAAAAAATGTCTTCCTTTGTCCTTAACACATTGGATAAGAGAAGAGCAATAATGGGAAAGAGAAATATTCTGAAGTCACACAGTGCACAGTAAACAGTAAATCTAGGTGTCTGACTATTCCTAGCTGAGCTGCAGTTATATGCCTGCCCTGACATATATGGTGAATAAATAATGCCAAATGCCATCACCTGCAGCTACTCAATATAGAATCCAACAACAAATTGAAAGAAACAAAACTGGACACTTAAAACAGTCCTGTTGCAAAGAGTATGTAAAAAAACTGTAGTCTTATTCTTTAAGAAAAATATTTTCGATGGATGAAAATAATGACATCTAATTGGCCAAAAGTCTTTGTATTGGCATGAATGCCTTCATGAATAAAACTCACAGCTATGTTTTCTTCCATCGTTACCTTACAATATTTATAGGAAAAGAATGAGAAAAATTAAATAGCATTTGAGATATGGTATAGTATTCTCTTATTATTTGAAATATCCATTCCTTCCCAAATCAAGCAACACATACTCTATTCATGCTTCCAGCATAGAACTTGGCAATAGCATATCTAAACACTTGAGGGAAGAAAATTGCCATTCCTGTGACCACATTTATTACTAATTAATTAATGAATCCCTTTACTCAATATGCATTTATTATACACCTTGGGTGCAGTCTCTCCTAGCCTTTGGATCTATATTGTACAATCCAGTAGTCAATCCAGTAGTCATGAATCACTGCAGTTTTTCAACCCTTGAAACTGACAGGTCTGAACTGAGTTGTGCTGTGACTATAAAATATTGTTGGGTTTCTAATATTTGATATAAGAAAATAATGTAAAATATTTTATTAGCAATTTTATATTGATTATATGTTGACAAATAATATTTTGATATATTGGGTTAATATATTCTTATTAAATCAATTCATTTGTTTCTTTTTACTTTTCTTAACATGGCTACTAGAAAATGTAATACATCTATCTTGAATTTGTTGCTCTCCTTCTATTTTTATTGGATAGAACTACTTTAGAGACAAAAGAAAGGACAGGAAGTTGACAAAGACTCTCTCTATGACCAAACTTTAGTCAAGCTACTTTGAGTCCTCTTCTCCACTAGGCCTGAACCTGAGGCCCATCTTGTGTTTGGCCATCCCAGCCCCATTTTAGCAAGAATCTTGCTAAGTCAGTTTAGAGAGAGACCCTAGCCTTTACATCTGCTCTTCATCCTCTACTTTTGGGAGATCAAGTGCTCCATTCCCTTCCTTTGATGTCTATATCCTTGACCTGCCTTGAGAAAGAATCCCCTACCCTGATGTCTCCTTTTAGTATTCATCATTTATTCCCCCCCCCCCCCCATTGCCTGTAAATTCTCCCCTTGTCTTTGTTGTATTTGGAGTTGGGCCTGACTTTTCTTCCCTACTGCAATTCAGTTACTATAATAGTCTTGAATATAGTCTTCTCTATTTATATTTTAGAAACAAGTGTCAGAATCACATTTCTTTCACAACCTCAAGGTTTCTGACCTCGTGTAACTCATGAAATGAGAGGAGGGTGACTGACAGTGAACAGGTCAACAGGCCACATGTAATGAAAGTGCAGTGGAAGAGAGCTGTTACTTTGAGTGAGGTGGGCAGAGGTGATCTCTTTGTGGTGGTGACATTGGTTGTTCTAGAAGGACCCTAGCAAAGGCATGGAATTAGCCCAAGTGTCCACTGATGGATGAATAATAAAGAGAATGTGGTATATATACATGATGAAATACTATTCAGTCATAAAAGTTCTGAAATCATGTCATCTGCAGCAATATGGAAGAAACTGTAGGTCGTCAGGCACAGGACAAATACTGAGTATTCCCACTCATATACAGAAACTGAAAAACTTGAACACATGGAGGTAGAGAGTGGAAGAATAGACATGGAGGTAGAGAGTGGAAGGATAGAGAGTGAAAGGATAGAGATAGGGAGGGATGATTTGGGGGGAAAAGGGAGGATGATGAGAACTGGGCTAATAGGTATAAACACACAGTAAGGAATACATTCAATATGTGATAGCACAGCAGAATGACTATACTTAAAAAATTATTGTACTTGAATGATGGACACCCTAAATACCCTGACTTGATCAATACACCTTATATACACATAAAAGATTTCTCAACTGTCCCTTATATTTTCACAGATTTAAAAAGGAATCCAGCCATGCAATGATCTGGGGGTAGACGGAACAGCAAACACAAAAATCACCAGGGTGAGAGGAGGGCCAGAGCACACAGATAGGAGCAGAGAAAAAAGTCAAGGTCACTGGGGTAATGTCATATGGAGAATCACAGGCCATGGTGAGGAATGTGGGTTTCATTCCAGTGCAGTGGGTAGCAGCACAAGTGTCTTAAGCAGAAAAATGACATGATGTGACTGTGTTTACCAAAAACCCACAGAGCACTTTGTCTACAATGTGAAAGTAGATTACAGGTAGCAAACCTGGGAGCAGAACAGGGGCCATGACAGCTTCTCCAGGCCAGAGAGAAGGATGGCCAGGATGGGGCAGAGACAGTGGAGATGGGGTGAAGGGTAGGAGTTGGCACCTACTGTAGGAAGACTGGCAGATGTGCCAGAAGTGGGGCAGGGAGAGGGAGGTGTCCAGGTTGACTTGCAGTTTGCTTAAGTACTTGGCTAGGAGGTTATGCCATTCACTGATAAGATATTTTTTTTTTTGAGTTGGAGTCTCACACCGTCACCCGGGCTGGAGTGCAGTGGTATGCTCATGGTCACCACAGCCTTAACCTGCTGGGCTCAGGTGATCCTTCCACCTCAGATTTCCAAGTAGCTGGAACTACAGGCACGTGCCACCACATCCGGCTGATCGTTTTGCTTTATTGTAGAGATAAGTTCTCATCAAGTTGCCCAGGCTGGTCTCAAATCCATGGGCTCAGGCGATCCTCTCACCTTGGCCACCCAAAGTGCTAGGATTACAGGCGTGAGCCACTGCATCCAGTCTCATAGGATAAATTTATTCAAAAGAGGTTTCTTCTTTTCTTACTTGTGCAAAACTATGCAGAGAAGAGATAAACATGAAAAAAAGAAATGACTGATAGAGACTGCATGTCCATTTAGTCAATAAATATTAGACAGTTTCAAAAGTGTAAGACTAAACATATGCTTCTTATAAGTATGTAGATGTAGAACATAATTTTTGTAAGTGGAAGTGAACATTAAGCACAACATTAGGAAAATGGTGCCTTTTGGAGGGGACAATGGGATGAGGTGAACCACATGGGCAAATTCTCAGGGGAGGACGATGTCCTAGTTCTCACACTGAATTCTGGGAGCATTGGTGTTCTGATTATTACTATGATTTACAACCATCACATATGTTACATGTATTATTTTGCAGGCATAAAATAACACATTAAAACATTTTAAAGATTCCTTCCTGACAAATTGGCACCAGTTGTAACTTCAAGAGAAGGAACTTATTGGCAGTTGGGTCGGTGAATGGCCGCTGCTTCAATCAATGTGGACAGGAAGAATGTGAGGGGCTAACGTAATCAGTTACAAGTTGACATAAATATTGACTATTTTCACTGAAGTACACAGCGAGTGTGAGGGGAGCATTTCCCACAAATCCACCATCCTGCAGAAGGTGCCCAAGGCTTCACAGATGTGGATTTCGGGAAAATTGGAAGACAAAATGTGCAGAATGTTGGGTAAGATTTTTAGGCTTTCTTGTAAAATCAGGATAAGTAACGGTTTTCTTGAAGGGTTGCTCTCAGAATTATATGTTGTAAAAACATTTAGCACATGGTAGGCACTTAATGGATGTCACTTTTACTTTTCAAGTTCAAACTTAAGGGATAAGTGATGGTTCTTTCTGTTCAGTTTTATATCAGCTTGATGGATATACAATAGCCGTGCTTTAACTCATGCAAGATGAAATGCAATTGAGTAGAACCATATTCATCAAGTTTCTACTCATCTGGCCATCAAAGTGGGCCCATTAACTCACGTCCTACTGTGACAAAGTGAAATGTTGTTAAGGCCACAGCATCATAACAGGCTCTGAGAAACAGATCAGTAATGCTTTCCACAGTGCAATTTTTCTCCATGTGTCACACTGGTGTTGCTATGAATGGTTATTGAGTGCTGGAAAGAAAGAACACAGCACTCACCACAGGCATAAAAAATAAAACGGAGTGGACTCTGAGCTTAATACTAG